ACTTGAGCGGTCAGTTGGTAGGGCCGATACTATATATGATATAGTAGTCCGATCTGAACAAAATTTATGGAGATTTTAGCTGTGCTCTATATAATAATATGTGTCGAATTTCGTGACGATGTCTTATCAAATAAACAAGTTTTCCATACAAGGACTTCAGTGTGCTCCTTCAGTTTGTATGGCAGCTATATGATATAGTAGTCTGATCTGTACAAAACTTTCGAAGAATATAATGATACCTTAAATATTGTTTTGTGTTAAGTTTCATGAAGATCTGTTGACAAATAAATAAGTTTTTCATGCAAAGACATGAGTTTGCTCGTTCAGTTTGTACGGCAGCTATTTGCTATAGTTATCCGATATGAACAATTTCTATGGAAATTATAGCCCTGCTTTGGATAAAAATTTATGCTAAATTTCATGAGGATATCTTGACAAATAAAAAAGTTTGCCATACAAGGACTTCAGTGTGCTCGTTAAGTTTATATGGCAGCTATAGGATATAGTAGTCTGATCTGAACAATTCTTTATGAGAATTGTAGTAATATTTCAAATACTAATCTGTGCTAAATTTTGTAAAGATACCTTGTCAAATAAAAAAGTTTTCCATACCTGAATTACCTGCCCAGTACTCACAAATTTGTTACTGAAATACCAAAGAATTATCACTATAGCGAAATATATACATATTTTCATACATAAACCCCGTTTATATACATTTCCATGCATTTTTATATATCTGCATGGCTATGTGTGCCCATTATGTGATAAAAGATCGGTCTTTGTGTATCCGAAAGCTGTCAGAATGGCTCACGTTTCAAGCCTCGTTAAGGCAAAAATAAGATATTCATTTAAATATATGTATATGCAAACATATATGCATATACTTATACATATCTATGTATGTATGTATGTATATGAAATATTTATGTATGTATATATGCACGCACTTATATATATTTGTGTTTATGGTAGGTATTCTGCTTATACAAAGCCTTGCAAAACAAACAAAATTGCATCTTTAATTTTTGGAGCGAGTATTCAACTTCTGATATACCTATATACGCCGATATATGTATGCATATGTATTATTATAAATATATACAGCGTACATGCATATAAAATGCTTGGTGTAGCCACGAGCTTGCATTGAAAATGCGGGCATAAATAATTATTTCGCATGTTAATGTCACAACATTGATTCTGCATATAGATCAGGCATCTGCGTAAAGCACATACATATAAACATTATACAAAAAAAAGCAAACACTTTAACTTCAGCTGCACTGAAGGTATTAAGCACACGCCATAGTTACATTTTTTAATAGTATTAAAAGGTATGAAAATAATTTTATCATGATTTTCATAGGACAGTTTGTATGGCAGCTATAAGCTATAGTGGTCCGATCTAAACTATATGGCAGAAGATTGTAGCAGTATCGTGGAAAATTGTTTATGCCAAATTTCGTGGGAATTTCCCTTCAAATAAAAAAGTTTTCCATACAAGGACTTGAGTTTGTTCGCTCAGTTTGTATRGYAGCTATATGCTATAGTCATTCGATATGAGCAATTTCTTTGAAGATTGTAGCACAATTTTAGGGAATACTTTCTACCAAATTTCGTGAGAATATCTCGTCAAATAAAAAAGTTTTCCATAGAAGAGCTTGAATTTGTTCGCTCAGTTTGTATGACAGTTTTCCGATATAGGCCACTACGAAAAATGAGCAACTTCTTGGGGAGCAAAGAACGTGTGCAAAATTTCACAACGATAACTCAACACCCGTGGAACGATTTCGCTTATAAATCGACGGGCAGTCGGGGATAGCCATACAGCCATATAACACACTTAATAAYACTGAAAATATGTTTTTGGAATATTCACAAATTTTAAGCGCAAATAGACAAAACTGCAGCAGAATATAATATTCATTCATATTCCAACTTCCAATAATTTATGCATGTATGTCACTTAGATGTTGGGATCTATTGAAAACTGTGGCGCTTATGAATGATTTAGTGGGAAACGCTAAAAAATAAGAAAAAAAAATGCAAACATATCAAAAAATATTTAAATTACTAAAAAACAATTTTAAACCATCAAAAATTTATCATTATATTAAGTAAAACCGACTTCTGGTGACTGAAGCCAATTGCCAGCACCAAACCCCCAACAATCACGTGCGCACAAGTTGAGTTAGAAACAGAAATGAAAAGCAGCAGCTGAAAATATCAAGGTACGTGGAAAATCATTAAAGGTCGGTGCAAACGATGTAACCGGCAAAATTCGGGCAGTGAGTGAGAAAAGCAAACAAACTCAAACTAGCATGCGCTCACACAGCACTTTGACATATCAATAAAACTCACGCTGACAGAGGAAATTGCCGSCAAAATGAGTTTGCGTCAAAGGGCTGGGGTTGCTACTCGCAGAGTGCTTACAACAATATAATACAAATAGAAAGAGTGCGGTACGCTGTAAACTACTGTAAGAGCATATAATGTACGCAGGTATATGAAGCAGCTGATTATGGCAGGCAGCAAAAGCGCTCAATGCGCACAGAGCGACTGTGGCTTGAGGTAGTGGAGTCTAAGATCAGCTGTGCGCAGAGAGAAGTAAATAGCGGCATATACTACGCTTGTATATATTATATATAATATAAACATATACATTTGTATGTAATAAATTAAGCATAAATATTTAAGCAGTTCGAATTTGGTATTAGCTAACGCAGCGCTTGAGTGCCATGAGTGGGTGAGAGTAAATGGAGTTGCAAATGAGTGAATGAAATTTGTTGCGCGTTTGTGCGGCAGGGTGGAAAACAGCTTAGCGGTGAAAAGAAAATATATAGGATGCGTAAAGGAAACAGTGATGAAAAGTCACGTAGGCCACGCGGAGTTCTGAGCAGGGTAAAGCAGCAAAGAGCCGCACACAGGCAATGAGAGGCATGGATTGAGTGGTGCAGAGGCACATAGTAGTATGTAAATGCAGAAATACATGTGTGATTGTGTTTGCAGAGTTGTTGCAGAATAAAGAGTCTAGTTCGTTTGGGAAAAATCAATTATTAGCAGTATAAGCATGCAAATGCGCCCAAAGAGCGACGAGTTACTGGTAACAAAGTAACTAATATATTTGTAACTTATATGTATATAAGTTACACTTACGTCAAGGTGTGCGGAAAATCAATGCTGTAATGTGCGTTATTTATTTTGTGGATTTTCAGCAACAGTTAAAAATTTATTGATTCAAAAGAGGGCTTTGGCGTTTAATGTCTGCAAAAATATGCTCAGCTGAAGTATATATAACTATATTAGGTTCCTATGAAGTTCATGCAAAAGTCTTCATTCATTAACTTCAAAATCACAATTTTGAGTGGTGTGAGCAAATCCAAATTTTCATTGAGTAAAACGAAACATTCATACAAAACTTGCTCACAGCTGTTTTTCAGAGCGCCTCCCTACTCTCACCATTCAAAACGCTTTGCATTTAAGAGCGAAAGTTATATATAAGTACATTTCAGGCGATGAGCATTATTTTTGTAAGTATATTGCTGTACAGCAAAATTTTAAATACAATTGAGTATAAATTACCACTTTACTGAGCATAGGTGAGAGACGTAGAAATGTGCTCAAAGGGTATAATAAAGGTTCGTTAAGCAAAATTTTGGGTTTTGCACAAATTTATTTGTTGCAACAATATTTTATAATAGAAATCAAATTTTCACTCAACAACCGCAATTTTTGCATTTTCACTCAATGAAAATTATCTCAGGAAAGAAATTATATTTCATTTCTAAGCGTCTCTTTTCTTGCTATACCATTTGGGCAAACGACCCATTACACTTTGCTAATATAAATAGTGTATTATTAAGTGCTCTTGGTTTGAGCATGTAAATTTGAGCATGAAAATATCTCAACACCCTTTTTATATACCATAAGGTCTTCTTTTCCATAGTTAACTCAAGCATTTCAAGCGCGGTTCTCTTTAACTATGATTTCCTATAGAATTTAGTTAAAAAATTGAGCACTATATGCTCTTTATTTCCAATGCAAGTTAATCTACGTCAGATGTTTCAAGCGCTGAGCACCATATTTCGACTATGTGTTAAATTTATTCTCAGTGCGCCTTGCAGCCTGAGCTCTTGCTGCAAAATCTAACGCCGAAAGAGTTTGTAATATATGTGAGTTAACTAGAACACTCATTATTAGCAGAAACTTCTCACTCAATCATACAGCTGCAAGGGTTTCAAATCTATTCGAGATAGCTCGAACACTCATTAAAAACAGTAACTTCTCACTCCTTTTAAACGCTGTAATGCCTGCAGTTTCTCCCTTCATATTAACACTACTCATCCAGTGCGCAATTACTGCTCAAAATAATTATCTTCCCAACCCGACTCACTCAACACTCTTAGCAGCACCACGAAAACATCTGTGCGTGCGCAAACGAAGAGGTGCAGAAAAAAATCAGCTGATTTTCTGAGCTACCGAAACAGATGTTCCAAACGTTCAGCTGTGCGTTGTGACAGCTAAAGCAGGAGAGTGAGCGAAAGTAGGCGCTTATTGGTTACGAATAGCGCATGGCAAAGAGTTGGGGCAACTGCAAGCAGCAATTTTATGTGGCACTCACAGCCAGGCGCTCAATACGACTTTTCACGACAAGTCACTCACACACTCACTCACTCACAATTAAGTGCAAAAACACACGCACACATACAAATGTTATACGTAGCAGTTTGTAGGTGCGTTGCATTGTGACTGTAATGTAAGCGGAGAGTAGGGATCTGAAAGATACAAATCGTTAGCCGGTACGTTATTGTTAGTTTGGTTGATTGTTGGCTTGGTTGTACGAACGGTCGGTTGGCTGTTTGGGTTGGTTTGTGCCTTGCTTTGCAGTGATGGTCCGTCTGTATGTGGAAAAAATCGTTGATTGTAACGGCCTGGGTAGCCCTATAAATAGCAGCACTTTGAGCCGGTCGGATCCAGTAGCTTCGTAACAACTCTGCTGGTTAAACGTAACGTGGAAATTGGTTTGTGTAGAACAAGAAGAGGAACACTTTTTTTTTTGAAAGAACATTAAAGTAATAGCAATACAGCACGACTACGAAGACGACGACGACCAAGACCAAGACCGCGAACACAACAACTACGACGACGACAGTACGAGGTAAAATATTACAAGCAACCAAAAATAGACACATGACAAAGGACAGCAATAATTTACACTGCAAAACAGTTTTTGTAAAATCGAAACGGTAAAAACGAAGTTTCAACTGAAAACTGTATGTAAGCGAGAAAAAGCAACTATTGTTAATTTCACAAAGCCAATAAACCAGCCAGCCAGTAAGCACAGACTTGACAAATAAACCAAGCAACCAAATCCATAGACATTCAAGCGTAAATCAAGCCATATTTTCAAGCTTTCTTTCCAATACACACACCCCACATATGAGCAACACACATACCGCAACGGAAAACAGCTGACATATGCAATTTTCACTGTTATTTGAGTCGTTGAAATTGCAAAATTAATGGTGTGAAATTCTATTGAGCGAGTAGTCAGCAAAGCCACCGCCGTTGCAACGCGAGAAATAGTAATTTAAAAAAACAGCAAAAGCGCAACCAAAYCTAACAAAAAAAATAGTCCCAATTTGCAAGCAACAAATCCGTTTACTTGAAAGCGAAAGATGAATATGTCAAATTTCGTAAATTCAGCAAAGTCCGTAAATTAAATTTTTACAGCAGAAAAGTTCTTAAATTAGCAGCAAAGTCGGTAGGAAAAGCATTGAACAGCCAGAAGAGAGCACGCGAGTGAAGAGTATAAGTAACGCATTGACAGGCGGCAGGCGCAAGCAAACCAGTCAGGAAGCTACCAAACAACAATAACAGGCAACAAACACATTTCAACACGTACCAGCGCGAGCACAGGCACAACAACAACAACAACAACGAAGCAAAGTAAACGGCAAATGAGTGAAAAGCAAATCAGCTGCAAGCCAAACGACTCGTGCAGTGAGTGAGAGCGCAGCGCAGCGCCAAACGCACAAGCGTTAGCTCCAGCAAGGCATATAAGCGCTGAGTAACGCAGGCCAGAGCAAACGAAACGAGTGTGGCAGTGACGCGTTTGAGCCAAAATAGCGCACAGCCGAGCCTTGGAGCTTGGTGCCAGCAACGTTGGCAGTCAGTAGCAGCTGAGAGAGCGTCGAGTAAGTAACGTCTGTAAATTTGGTGCAAGACGACGTAGAGGAGCTCGCGCAAAGCAACGGAAATTAGCAAAGACGAGACGACGTGTTACATAGGCAGACAACCGGCCACACAACGACGCACCGCGAAAGACAACCAAAGCTACTGTTGTAAAATCAGCCGGTGTAACGCATTGTAAAGCAGGAGAAGCAACGTCACACTCAAAAAATAAAATAAAAACAATATTTGCAAAGCTGCTTACGCTGCGTTTAAGGAAGTGACATTTATGAAATAAATCCATTTTCACAACAGCTGTGCAAAAAAGTGAAAGCTAACCAGTACAATTTGCCATTGATATTGTGGACGCAGCCCGAAACGCCGTAGCCGGAAAAAGTGCAGACAGTTTGCTTTTTGTTGTGTTGCAGATAAAATAGTAGGCACAAAGTGGCACAGTACAAGGAACGGCCAACGAAACTAGCAGTGAAGCCAGCATAAAAGAGTGCCACAAGCAAACGCTGCAATAAAAAAWAAAATWAAAAAAGGAAGCAACTAAATCGAGGCGCAGATAAAAAGCACAAAAGCGCCGACAAAGCGAAAATATTTTACAACAAACGCGAAGCCAAAATATTTTACGACAAATAGGCAGCAAAAGTTAAAGCGTTGCAGGCAAATTTCCGGCCTACGTGCAGCAGTGCAAGCAAACGGCGTTGAGACCAGTGCGTCAAGACTAAAAACCACAAATTTAAGTAAATAAATAAAAAAAAAAAAAAGAAATCAAGTGATATTTTAGTGCTGTGAATGAGACGTAGAGGAGTTGACGACGAAGCCTACAAAAAGCGTAGACAAATAAGCAGCAGCTACTAAGAGCAGCTGAGCAAGGAACAAGGAAACTCATACGGCCCGGCAGCCCGACAAGACGCAAGCCGAAAAGCCATAGCACACAATTAAGCAGCGACAAGCAGTAGAAATTTAAAAATCATTACAAATTTCTTGTGATGACTGCAGGCAGTGCATATTAGTGGCAGCTTATGTGCAACACGAAAATTGGTGCGAGCAGCTTGCGTGGCTGAGAGTGGCGACTTGCAACTTGCTAAGCGTAAAATACACACAAGTTCAGGGATATAAATCATTTCATTTTTTAATAATAAAAAAAAATTAATTAACCAACTATAAAATTAATACAAAACACAAATTAATAAAATACACAACAATAACAATAAAAAGCGAGCAATTAATAGCGGTTGAAGCAGGCAACAAGAAGAGCTTGAAGGCAGTAAGCGGTGTGCGTGCATTATTTATGAAAATATATGTGTGTGCGTGCAACAAAATACGTCAAAATGTAAATTAAATTTAATGCAACAAAATTTCGTGGAAGCAAAAAATCAACGCGTATTGCGAAACGAGGAAAAAATCGAGGCAAATATTTAACAGGCGAGCTGTAGGCGAGAAAAAAATTGCTTGCGARAAAAAAGAAGACAAAAGTTGTGTATGCCTTCAGTCAGTTATTTACAAAGCAACCGCACATAAGAAGCTAACAAATTAATTAGTGTAAAAAGAAATGCAGTTAAAAGTAATAGGACGCAGCGGTGGTACTAGTACACAACTACTCCTTTTTTAACGCCTTTTTRAACAAGCATAATAAATACAAATAATCAACAAACTACAAAGTAATGCAAAAGTAGCGTTAAAACCGTTTTAATAAAACATACAAACTAATGCAAAAGCAACAAAAACAAACAACTTAGAATAACAAATTGAAGCGTGTGGCGACGACAAAAGGAGCAAAGACAATTACAAATTGAACTTAGTTGTTATTTTCCAATTACATTTTTGTTAAGTAAAGCCTAAAAAATTTAAAACATCTACTAATAGACACAACAAATTATCATTAATGTTTAATAATTGTTAATTAAATAATAAACGCGTTTAACTAAAGTGAAACTTAATAAGACAACGCAGCAGAACGGTTTTCGAAACGCACTTCAGGCAGCAGCATGAGTCGGCTAGCGTGTGATTGAAGTGAATTGAAMGCTAGGCAGAACGCGAGTGAGTATAAGACAGTCCGACAGTGTGTCAAGTTCTGTGCCGTTTTGCGACGTTTTGTGTTTGCTTTCTAATACAACTGTGTGTCTTTAATTTTAATTCAACAAATTAATAAGAAAAATATAAAACGAAAACAATTTTTGTGATTAAAGTGCATTTCTCTAAGCGTAATTTAATTGAAGTAGTAAGAAATCATACATTATAACTAAGCAGTAAATTGAAAAAAAAAAACACACGACAACACCAAAAACACGCGCATACGCGACGCTCAAAAGCAAAAAAAAAAAAAAATATTTAATAATAATTTTCCAACTCCACACGTACGCTGCAGCTCACTGCAGCGCCAACAACATTAAAATTGGCAACACTACAACAACACGCTACCACAACCACACAAACACAGCAGCAGCCACGGGCACTGCAACAACAGCAGGAGCAGGAGCGGCCGGTAGCGACAGCCAACACGAACACACAGGCGTCACACAGCCAGTCAACAACGCCAGCAGCAGCAGCAACACACCCACCACAAGCATTAAGCAGCTCTTGGCGCTTGTTAGTAGCGCCAGCGCCGTCAGCGCGGCCGTCGATATACCGCCGCCCAGTCCGGTCACGGAGGCAGCGGTCGAGGCGACCACCGTCGATCAGCAGCGTAGGCCGTACTTGCAGGCAGCGGCTGTTGCGCAACGCCGGCAACGCGCCRAAAGTGTTGCCGCCAGACAGCAGCCAGGAGCGCGTATTGGAGCGCCACAAGCTAAAGGCGCGCCTGAAAGTGAAGTCGACGACGAAGTGGAAGTGGAAGCCGAAGCGGAAGCAGATTCCGGGCGCATTCTTAACGTGTGCGCTGGCAGTGACATTGACGACGACAGCGAGGCTGAAATTGAGCGCGTTGAAGCTGCACGCAACGGCGATACGGCGGAGGTGGCGCAATTGACGCTGGCTGGCGCTGAGCGCGAGTACGCGCACGTTGACTACGAGTCACAGTTCGAATTGGACGCCGAGCTGGAGCGACACGCCAACGATTTGATCCATATCGATCAAGTCTTCGAGGAGCTGCGCCAAAAAATGGAAGTGCTCTCAGTRCAAAATCAATATCAGGGACAATTCGGTGTCATCGGTTCAAGCAAAGTTAAAGGTGAGTGTCGAAAATTTTATAAATACTTCATGCTTTACATTTTTTTTAATTTCTAAATACGGAAATTGCGCAGAAATAGCGTGTGAATTGCAAATTGTGCTAAAACGGTTTTTAGGAATTGGCCGCAAGCTGTTTACCATATTCTGAAAGCGTTTTGTAGCTTTGACATTTAAGGTGTTGTTGAAATGAGCGAAAGCTTTAAGAGCATATTTTGGTTTTCAAATAATATTTCTGTACGTGCAAATTGAAATAGAATGCACTTTCAGCGAGTTGTGTAATATGCGTCTGATTTGTATGAATTTTCGCTGGGCTTGGTGTGAAAAATGCAATTCTTTGAAGTATGCGTGTTTCTGGCAGCTTTCTTCCCTTTTTTCATAAGTATTTGTTGTTAAATCTTTCTGAAATTTTACACATGTCCACTACTTTTTAAGAAGCTGCACATTGGTCAGAGCCGCCATTATCCGATCACTATTACAAATAGCTGCCATACAAATTGAATGTTCAAAAACGGATGTTTGTATAGCAAACTTATTTATTTCTTAAGCTATCTCTACGAAATTTGGCTCCAAGCATTCTTCGAAGCAACAGTACAATATATGCAGAAATGGTTAAGATTTGATTACTATATCGTATAGCTGCCATACAAACCTAACGTTCAAAACCAGGTCCTTGCATGGAAAACTTTTTTCTTTCAAGAGATATCTTCACAAAATTTTACTGGTATTGTTGTCTAAAGCAACTCTTTAAATTCCAAAGAAATCGTTCAGATCAGACAACTATAGCATATAGCTGCCATACAAACCAAACGGTCAAAATCAAATTCTTGTATGGCAATTTTTTATTTTGGGAAAGTTAGCATAGCTTCGTTGCAACCAAACTCAATAGAATTGTTAAACCAACATTTTTCTCACCATACTCATTCAATTAACACAATAGTTTATTTTTAGTTGTCAATTAAATCAATGCTTATTTTTTGTTCCCATGACAGTGATTCAGTCAGCGATTATTACTCGCATAAAAGGCTAAATTGCAAGCAATAATTAAGTTAAGTCATTTTCACACTTGCTATATTAGACTGATTTGCCTCGTTCGAGCGTGTAATATTTTGTTTAAACAAACACCTTTTGTCATAAAATTATTTAAATACAATAATTAAGCATTAATTTGCATTTTTTGCCTTGGCCGCTTGAGTTATTGTTTATTAAACAAATTAAGCAATTTTCGAAACTAATTGCATCCGGTCAATGACACAGTTTATGCTGCATACATAATTATTTCATTATTTTTTTAGCAATTACAATAGCTATTAGCGGTAATCGCTTGTTGTTAGTGTTTTATGTTTTAAGTAAAAATTAATAGTTTAAATGGAGGCATCAATTTTTTAGTACGAAGGGTCACAATTTTTTTGAAAAAAATACAGTTTTTGTATATGGAAACAAAAAAAAAATATTATAAAAATTATCGTAAAAATA